GGCTCCTGAAGCTCTTTCATCCTTGAGGCTCTTTGTTGTTTTTTGAATCATTGCAGATACTGTGTAGCGCGAGCGGCGGTGCCACGGGCACCGAGAGTGCTCTGTTTGGCCTGCCGTGCGCTCATAGAGTCTAGAGATATTCGAAGCCCTCTGCTGGGCAGGAAAACCATGCTGGTAGCGGGGGTCGTAGGAGTGCTGGTTGTGGTTCTCGGCGCTGACAGCTGCGCATTCGCTTTTGCAGGTGGAGAGTTTACGCGCAACAGCAGGTCTTGCAGATTGAGCATATTCGTGTTTCGGCTCCAGCCCAGCAGCGGTAAAGTTCTTTGTGTAGGAACGCCTCCGTGGTTTGTGCCATGGCGCGTGAAGTGGGCTTGGATGCAGCGATCGATATGGAGGCAGCCGAGGAGCTTCTGCAGGAGCACGCGGCAGCCGTGATCCCACATCTTGAGCTTCGAGGCATTGCCGGCGACGGCAACTGCCTCTTTCGTGCCGCGGCTTGTCAAGTTCCTGAAGGTGAGGAACACCACGTGGCACTGCGAGCCATCTGCGCTGCCGGCGCTGCCGATGCCTGGGAGCGCTACGCGCCATACCTACAGCCTTGTGGTCGAGAGCAGGTGCTGGAATGGTGCCGCAACATGGCGCAAGATCGTTTTTGGGGCGATGGATTGGCGTGCCGGGTGTTGACGGACTGTTTGAAGCGGCCCATGATCATTTGGCGGCTCATGGAGCCCGAACAGAGGCCTTCATGCTTTGTGCCCGCCCTGGGCGTGGTGGGCGCACCGGTGCAACCTATCTACCTCTTCTTGGATGAGAGAGTTCGCGGAGCTGAGCACTACTGGGCCCTGGTTCGGGGCGAGCGGCCTTCTCAGCACAGTCCGTGGCAGGCACTGCAACCCGCCGCTGCGGGCGATGGCCGCCGGGGGAGCTTCAGGCGACGTTGTTTGCCGGCCTCCTTCTTCGGGACTGCCAACCAACAAGCATCATCGGGGCCTTGGACGCGTCATGGCTTGACGCAAGGTCAGATGGAAGAGCTGCTGCTCATGCAAGACCAAGGGGTGACTCCAGAAGAACTCGCTGCCAAGTTCTTTCCAGGACAAAAAGAAAAGTTGCGCTTGGTGCGCCGCTGGGGCTCCGTTGACAAGGAGCAAATACGTGCAAAGGTTCAAGCATACGTGGCGGCCAAGGCCGGGGCCCAAACTTCTGGGCGGGCCATGGCGGCCGCCCATCGCCTCCACCGGAGCCAGTGCCACGCATTCCAGGCGGAACGGCCTCCCGCAGCATCTTCTTGGCAAGAAGAACTTGGGAGACGATTTTCCGTTGCAGGCCGCGTGGAGGCTGGCGCGCCCCCTGAGCAGCGCTCCAGCCAGATGCCCTTAGCGCAGCAGATTCGGGGTTGGATGCACCACGCTTCCTGGACGTACTGCCCGAGGCGCAAGAACAACAGTTAACTGACAAAACAATTTCTTATGAAATAGTTTCAGTCCTCTCATGGCTTCTCCTTCTACGGCTCAGGTGCGGGCGGCGATCGGCAAAGCGAACCTGCTCCTTGCATTGGCGCGCTCATGCTGCAGCTGCCGTTTCCTGCCCATGCTCCATCACATGCGATCCCGACCCAGCTCATTTGGAGGCCTGTGCTTCGGCTGCTCAGAAGGCGGCCCAGGAAGAGCACACCGGCAAGCTCCAGGCGTACCTGACCCCGGACGCCAGCTACTGGGAGGCTTTCCGGGATTTCGTGTGCGAGGGAGCCCTCGGCTGGGATGACTTCTTCATGCTTCTTCCTAAGGAAGATGCCACACGGCTGGCGCCCCTCGACTTAAAGGTGGACTACATCACACGGAGAGGCGGGCAAGCTTGCGTTACGGCCAAACAGAAGAAATCCTTGGTGCGTGCAGTTTGGAAGCCTGTGGACGTCACGGAGCAGCTGCCCACGCCCGCTTCCCTCCGGGCTTTCGATTTCCTCATGGAGCACAACGACACCTACAGGACCTACGTGCTTCGACACCGTGAGCTACTTCGAGCCAATGCAAATTCCGGGAACGCCTGGCGCTATGTTCCGACAGCTCAGCTCCTGTTGCAGATGCCTGGCATCGAAGTGGCTGCCCGACCTTGGCTTTACGTGAAGGCTTTTGGATCTGAAATAAATCGGAGGATAAATGTTCTTGTATTCTGCGTACGAACCTGCAGGCAAGCCTCGGCGACACCGACGTCTCCGATCGGCTGAAGGCGTTAGGCATCTTGAAGGCATCGTCCAATCCCAGCGCCAAGACTCATTGGCTCCGCAAGGTGCTTTCCCGCAATGTGGATTTTGTGAAGGACTACCCTTTGCAGGCTCTGTTGCACGATGTGACCATGGCTAGAACCATCACTGCGGTGGTGGCTGTGGCTGAGAAGCAGAAGATCTCGCGGGACGAGGCTGCTGCGGACATGCCGCAGTTCGAGCAGTACTGGCATCATCAAGCTCAGAAGTTGGAAGACGTGTGCCGCCAAGCCGGGAAGTTTCCCAATCTCTTCTTCACGATTGCTCCCGCCGAATGGAGGTTCCCGCTACACGCCGGCATGTTCAGCAAAGAGGACCAAGAAGATCTCAGTCAGTGCCAAGCCTGGCTGACCATGCACATGCACAACTGCATTGCGGCCGTTTTGGACGCGGTGCTGTGGAAGAACAAGGCCCAGGCTGCCGAGCTGGGGATTGCCGAGATCGAGCACTACACGTATCGGTTCGAGTTCCAAGGAAGAGGGACCATTCATGTGCATGCGGTAGCGTGGGTCAAGTACAACCCCGGGGTCTGTGTGGAGGAGCTGAGCGGCCGCAGTGGCGCGAGAGGCCAAACGAGTCCGTTGGTGCGCCTCCTGGAGGAGGTCTTTGATTGCGGCGCTGTCGATGTACAGTGCGGGCAATCCGAGCACAACCTGCTTCGTTACGTGGCCGGCTACGTGGCCAAAGCCTCTGATTCTTTGCGCTTTCAGAAGGGAGATGAGGGCAGAGGCGCGCCTGCCGAGACTTCCCGGTGGCGGCAGGTCTGCCGCTTGCTTTGCAAGCGTTCCCCTCTGGAGCAGGAGCTGGCCATGTACTTCGCTGGGCTGCCGATGGTCGAAACCTCCTTCACCGGCGACAGGATGTATCCTCCGATTCCAGGGAGCACGGCCGTCAACAAGTACAGACATGCCTACCTGGCCTATCAAGAACGCCTCGTGGCAGCGCATGAAGAGCACTGTCAAGTCCAGGAAGTCGCAGAAGATGGTCGAGTTCTCCGGCTACGCAACTTTGTGGAGTGGTGCCGGCTTTTCCGGTTGCACCAGTATGTCAAGACCGGGGAGAACAGCTGGTCCTATGTGGTGCGCGAGCGCAATGCTCGTGGTCGGGGCACTGGCAAGAAGTGTGCCATTGCCATGACGTGGCCCTTCGAGTTGCTGGACATATACTGCGGCGCTTACGCAGCTGCCTTTTTTTCCTCGCCTCGAAGCCGAGTTGTGCCTTCCTGCCGATGAGCTTGTCCCCGAGAACATGCAGCACTTGGCCATGTTGCTCCGCCTACACAATGGGGATGTGGAAGCCGTCTTGGAGCCCATGGTGGAGGAGCTACGCTGGCGTGGCTTGGGAGAAGATCGCCAGGCGACCTTCGTGGCGCGAGTCCGCGCCGGGGCCACATTACTGGCAGCCGTGGCCACTGGAAGGGCGCGACCGGAGGATTGGTCCGCTCGCTCCGTTCGAGCCCCCCCTCGGAGAATCTGGTCCGCGGAGCAGCAGGCAGTGCTGGATGCTATTTCGGCTGGTGTGCAGCCGCAGGATGCAGATGCTGCCGCACCTCCTCACCCTCGCCTTTTGCGCGTGACAGGTGGCCCGGGCACTGGAAAGACGGAAGTCCTCTTGGCTGCCGCAGAGGCAGCAGCACAAGCCGGCTGCCGGGTGTTGCTGGGCGGCCCCATCGGCTTGCTGGTCGCTGGGCATCGCAGTCGTATCCCACCTGGCCTGGACATCACAGTGGAAACCATTCATTCGGCCTTCAAGGTTGGTCGTGATCGAGATGCTGCCTATATTCCGCCCGGTCGCCTTCGTCACTATGACCTGATAATTTTCGACGAAATCTCCCAGATCGATGCGGCGGTGTGGCAGAGGTTGCAGGTAGCCTTAGGTGAGCTGACCCCGTGTCCTTTCGTCGTCTTTGTGGGCGACTTTCAGCAGTTGCAGCCGGTGGCCGGCAGGCAGCAGTTGGGAGAGGATCTGGAGCAGGCGGCGCAGGCAGGAGCACTGCAGCACATCGAGCTCCTGCCACATGCCCACGCGCGCTCCACTGATAGGGCCATGTTGGATTTTCTTCATCACGCTCGTTGCCAACAGCCGAGCCGGGAGACTTTGGGTAGCTTCTTTGCTGGTCGACTACTTCCCGCCAGCTCGAATCTGCACGCTGCGGCACGAGAGGTCCTGCGACTGGAGGCTGCGCTTGGGAAGCGCTGCACGGTTCTGGCTGTTACAAATCAAGGCGCTGCTCACTTCAACCAAGCCCGCTTGGCTCTGGAATTTCCAGACGTGGCGCAGGCGCTGGCAGCGGGGCACGGCATCCTCTCGGATCCCGCCTACGGCGAGCAGAATTTCATCGCGGTAGTTGGCGCCAGAGTCCGACTGACCCAAAACCTCGACAAGGAGCGAGGCTTCGTTAACGGCGCCATGGGCGTGATCACTCAGGTCTTCGCGCCGGACATCTTCGTGGTGAAGACGCTTGAAGGGGTCCTGCTTTTGATTCACCGAGTTCAGCAACAGCGTTTGAAATTCCTGCCGGTCACCTACGCCTACGCCACCACAATGAGAAGGGCGCAAGGCGCCACATTGGAACTGGTGGCACTATGGTTCGACCGACGTCGCCCGGACCCCGGCTACGCTTATGTGGGAGCCTCTCGGGCACGGACCCGAACGGACGTGTATCACTTGGGGCGTCTCCGGCGAAGTGATTGGCGTCCTGTCGGCGGTGGTGATCAGGTGCACCCTGGACCTCTCAGTGAGACCTCCTCTTCCGACCTTGACGACCGAGATGAAGGTTCCTCAGAAAGTGAGGCGTCGTCGATGGACGTAGATCAGGAAGGTAGCTCAGACTCCGGAAGCGGGCCAGAAGAGGAGCCCGAAACGAGTTGTTCTCCGGATTGCTCTGAGAGCTCCGAGGACTCGTTGATTTGCTGAGTTTCGTCTTCACGCAATTTTGAAGGACCCGGAAAACGCTGTCGTGGTTTCCAGCTGCCCGCGCTGCACAGACAATTTTAGTGGGCTTGCTTCGGCTCAGGCTTCATGGTGAGGGTGTGCATCATGTCGCAAGCTCCTCCAACGCAATGACTTGCTTACCCATCGTGCGCAGTTGCCACGACTGGGGTTGTTTCTTTCATGCTTTCATGCCGCCGTAGCTATTTCGGATCACACAGCCTCCTTCCTTGCCTGCCCCCATCTTGCTGGAGCCCGTCATGGACGCGCAAGGCCTCTTCGGAAGCGGTGCTGCCGGCGCTGCCCCTGATGCGGCCTCTGCAGCGGACGGCCGGCGCACGAAGCTGTTCGGGTATGACTCAGTCGCCGCGCAACTCCTGGAACCCTATGGCAAATCGGCCCTCGGTGACATGGAGCTTCCAGAGCTATGGGATGCCACCAAGAAGGGGAATCGCAAGGCGGCTTACCACAGCCACCTCTGCGCAAATTTGACCACCGATGCCTGGCATGTGGGCGCGGGCATCAGTATGACAGCTGCAGCCCTGCTCCACGCAGTGGAGGCATTGGAGCACGAGAACCTCAAGCGCATCCTCAAAGAAGATTTGTATGCTGCTGCCATGGGCGAAGCCAAGACTTTGAAGCCGCACCTGGAAGTCCTCAACTTCGGTAAAGGCATTGCGGGTCAGGGGCCCGTCCAGGCATCCTTTCGCGCTGTCAAGAAGCGGCGCGTGGACCCTAGCGCTCCTGCACCAGGGCGCTCTGAACCGGAGGTGCAGAAAGCCGCTGAGCAGCTCCACGACTGGCTGTCCAAGCCTGCGTCACCTTTGCGAGGGCTGCTCTTCATCTTGTCTGCCAACAACGTCTTCTTCACGGGCTACGCGGCCGAGAAAGTTGCCAGGGCATGTGTGAAGCACAAGCCTGCCTCCAAGGAAGACTTCGTCACTGGCGCTTTGGCCCGTGCTCGTACTGTAGCTGCTCCTGGTGAAAGCACGGGCGCAGCGGGGTCGCAGGACGCATCGGGTCTCTTCGGCACCGCCGCCTGAGCCTGCGCATAGCAGACCGGCACTCTGTATTAGATCATATGAGGGGTGTGGCTCAACCATGTTATGGTTTTTAATCGAGGTAAGTTTGTTTGAAGCTGCTGCAGCCCGTGCGCAGCCGTGTCTCCTAGTCATGCAGCCGCCGAAGTTGGAGGATGGCACAGCTCGACCGGCGGCCCGCAAAAGGCGATGCTTTGTGCGGTCTGAAGCATTGCTGCTTGCCGGGGTTCATATGGCATCCTGATTTGTGTGGTTGCTACCTCGTACGAGTCAATTTTGTTGGTCACGTTAGACCGAGCAGTATGTAGGAGTAACAGCTTTCGCCAGCGTTGTTGTCGCGCAGCTAATGACATGGTTGGCACCCGTTCTGGTTCAAGCAAATACCCACGCACAAACATGCATGCATGGGTGGTTTTGACATGTATACGGCACGCAGACAAAGATGTAGGAAGTCAGGAAGGGAAAAGTATGGGTTGCAAATGAAAAGGGAAAGGTCCTGAAAACCCCTGGAGGCCCCTGGTTTCTGGAGGGTCGAGAGGAATGGAAGCCCCATAAAGGCTGGAGGTGCTGGAGCCCCCTTTGGAGGCCCTTTTTGAGGCCCCTTGGAGGCTTCTGAAGGCCCCGAGCGTCTGAGGCCGCTGACCTGGTTTCTGGAGGTTGCTGCAAACCGGGAGGTCCCTGGAGCCTGGAGGGCTCTGGAGGCTAGGGGCCTTGGAGGCTCCTGGAGGCTCCTGGAGGCTCCTGGAGGCTCCTGGAGGCTCCTGGAGGCCCTCCGGGGCCTGGAGGTTTTGGGGCCCGAGGCGCCTGCCTTCGGGGCCTCTAGGCGTTTTCAGGCCTCTACGGGTTTCGGGGACTCAGGAGCTTCAGAACTTCCAGGGTTC